AAAAAAGATGAAAAAAAAGTAACCAAAGAAGACTGAACTGAAGAGCAAGAGGAAAAAATCGAAACATCCATGAGGCGAACCTGTAAGCATGTGAAGAACGAACAGCCATAAGAAAGTAATAAAAGATGAATCAGAAGTAAACGTAACGGAAAAGAAAATCAAAGTGAAGTGAAGAGGCAAAGAGCAACTGACCAAAATGAAAAAAATACTAACAACGAAAATGGGTTGAGACTCGAAAAATAATTGGAGCTAGCGAAAAAAAGAAGAGTGAAAGGAAGACACAAAGCAACTGCGACAAAAGGAGGCTGCGCGAGTCAGGGACGGATCCAGCCGATCATTTTAGGGGAAGGGATTTTTTACAAGAAGGTATTTATTATTATGTATACTATAATAATATTATGGTGGGCATGGCTTCCATGACCCCCCCCCGGGATCCACCACTGACGCGAGCTGACGAGCGCAAGAAGCTAATGGACGCGTCCGCGAAGCGCGCTTGCAAACGGAGAACGCGGCGGCGGCGACGGCGGCGGCGGTTGCGATGGTGGTGGTGGTGGCGGCGGTGGTCGTGGCGGCGGGTGTGGTGGTGCAGGTGGCGGCAGCGGTGGCGGCGGCGGCGGTTGCGATGGTGGTGGTGGTGGCGGCGGTGGTCGTGGCGGCGGTTGTGGTGGTGCAGGTGGCAGTATCGGTGGCGGAGGCGGCGGTGTTGGCGGCGGTGGTGGTGGCAGAGGTGGAGGTGGAGGTGGTGATGGTGGAGGCTGCGGCGACGGTGGCGGTGACGTCGGCGCTGGCGACGGTGGCGATGGTGGCGGCTGCGGGCGTGGGGGTTGCGGGGGCTGCGGGTCGTGGGAGCGGAGCGGAGCGGCGCGTTGCTGCACGCCGCCGCCGCCCGAGCCGGACACAGCGCGGAGCGATGCGGCGGGGCTCCCCGCGGGAATAACGAGCCCCCTTCGGCTTGGGCCTGGGCTTCGGGGGTGGGCGGCCGGCCGGCCGACCGCCGGAATGCGCCGCCCCCGCGGGAAAGCCCTGGCTGCCTGGCGGACCACTGGCCCGGGCAGCCGCCGCGCCAGACAAGCCCAGAGGACGGGTTGAAGGGAGGAAAGAGGAAAAAATGGGAGAGAGAAACAAAATGAAAATGTGGTGGAGAAAACAAACTGAGAGAAATGAAAAAAATCATGCAAACTGATAAACGAGAAATAATACTCAAAATATGCCTTAAATTACTTAATGAAGGATGTTCTTAATTGTTAAATATTATACTTCGAGTCTGCGGAAAAGTAGCATTGCACTTGGTGACTTGAATGGAGGCAGTGATAAAAGAAGCACACGGAAAAGTGAATACATTTAAAGAAAAATGACAGAGAGATAAACCTTGATACCTGGATTTGGGTCACTATTTCACTCTCGGATCATAGAACAATAACAAAATTGTTCTTTTGTCGTAACGTCTTTTATTATTTGGTGACTGTGTTTAAATTCATTGTGTGTCTAATGGCCGAAAAATGGAAAAAAAATATTAATTCTTCATGAATTGCAACTGTAACGCGAATGATTAAAGGTGCGTTACAAGACCAACAAGTAATAATAATTACTGAGTTTGCTAATGCTTCATCTCTAAAGCCATATTTATGAGAAACTCTATTAACAAGGAACATCGTTCGAAAATACTAAATAGCCATAATCATAGTTCCCCAACCAACATCAACGTAAACAATTATAAATTCTGATGTTAATGAAGTTCCGCCCAGTTACAGTTTTCTAAATTGTTTATTTAATAATTACGTGACTAAGTAAATTAATTTTTAAGCTTAGTAATTGTAAAATTTTGTTATGTATTTTGTGGTATTTTGATACTCCAAAGCCACCAGTACGATCTTAGTATGCTTCGGTAACACTCAGCAAGCAAATGCATCTTGTTATGATAAATTGAATGCACAATATTAATTTCAACTAATTCGTTCATGTAATTCGTGAAATGTTCCCAATATATACCACTCGTGATTTGTCAATTCTGAAGCAAAAGCCATCGCATCTTCGCCATTAGTGAATTGAACTCGAGAATTTCCAAAGCACTGACATTACCCATGAAATTCAATTCATGGGATACATTGTGGACGAAAAATAATACTAAAAAAGTAATAGGTTCTATAAACTCGGTGGGTTCGGCACAAATGTTGTGGAACTCCATAATTGTATAACAGTAATAGGTTTTATTAGTGTATCTTTGTAAATAATAAATCTATCGCACTTTGTAATACACATTTATTCTGGTATGTGTTGATAAAAACAGGAAAGGGGATTTGATCATGGAAAAGATTGACGTTCACGATTGCGTAGTGAAAGGGTACGTAAACATGTATAGATGATGACCCGAAGAAGCAATGTTTTGAAAAAAAATTAAAAAATAAGATCTAGTTGCTACCAGACAGGCTGGAATGCAATCAGGCCAATTACAAGGAATGAAGTGGAAAAGGCTGCAATAAGACGTACATCGTCTAGGACTGCTGTGAAATCACGTGGCTTTATTGACATATACGTACGTATTTGAAAAATCACTAAATCTTGGTTAAGCCAGCAAAAATTTCGCATTAGCAGCAAAAAAGGTTTTCTGGAGGGTCTAATGTGGAATTCCCATGAATCTTGCTTGGAATTCCCGAGGGTGATGTAAAGTTATTACTTCCACTTATGATGTGTCCCATACTTTAGAACGCCCAACGGGATGGCGAGTGGTGAAGGTCAGATCCGTTTGTCTTGTGTCCATGACCTACTATCGAAACCCCAGATATTTGACATCCGGTAGTAATGGTTACACTTAAGTTCGAAGGAGATTTATCTGTTTAGTTCGTTTTTTTTTTCGAAGGTTAAACCAGTCCAAATCTCTCAAATTTTATCATTCCTTTCAAATAGCAATAACGGAGAATTACCAAGATGGTATTTTAAAATATTGATTAAATATTAATTTTACTAATTTTCATGCTTTCTGCGCGTGAGTGTTTCATTTAATTACAGCGTTCCTTCATGAGCATGTGTGAAAATAGGATTTGAAAAAAATAACAATTCTCATCGACATGTTTGGACAGAATTTAATTTGTTATTGTCCAGAACATTTTGTGATTTTTTTGCTAGTAAAAGAGTAGCACCTACACATATTGGAATAAAAATCGACGCCATTGTTATATAGTATAGTACAGTATGTGAAACCTCTTCGTCACAATTACAGAAGAAATTAGTCATTTCCTCGTAGCAAAATCCCAAACAAATTGAACTTGTTTTTGTATCTTATGCATACTAAATTCCAATTCTTGGAAATATACTTTCATGGAATGCCTACTACGGTACTATGCGAGAACATTTCAAGGTAAAAAAGCATTAAACCCATTTAAGAATTTCCTTTACTGGTGTTAATACTAAGAATTCTTCAAACGATTATCTTTCTAGGTAACATGATGTATTGATCGTAGAATATTATATACATGAATAGAATAGTGAACATGGAATTATAGAATAAAATTATATAATGCAGTAAAATAATAAAATTTAGAATGTAAATATACATCGCTTAAAACAATTTATAATAAATATTTACAGAACGTGTTTACAATCTCATATACGGCACGTCCATATTCTTATCGACAGACGCAGGGACATCATGCAAATTTAGCACATCATTGCACATAGCACGTAATATTAAAATGTGAAATATTGTTTTCTAGAAATCTACATATATTTCGTATACAATCTACGTTTATTGCTTTCTACAGATCTTAGTTTATAATTGACATCAGTCTTACTTATGTGTATCATTTACAATCCTTCCTTTATAAAAACCTACTAAAATACTTTCATGATTACCCTGAAAATGATTCAAACAAAGCAGCAAATGCTCACATTTGCCTGGAAAAGCGTTTAAAAATATTAGAGAAAGGGTATCAAAATCAGGCCAAAATATCAAACTTCGTCGAAAGATTACATTATCGTACGTTTCTGTCACGGAACATTAACGATTCTAACTGTTGTGATTGGTAATGGATTCTGGAATAATGATTTCGAATTTTTAATGGTTTCAATATTGACGTTTTTATTAAATGACTTATGTAGTAATTTCATTTTTTGTTGCAAAAAGACGATTTCAAAAACATTTTAGTATTTACTTGGATTATGGCATGAGGGAGTCCCAATTCGTAGCAATCTTATTATGAAAAACAAAATAAAAATTAAGGCGTCGATATTGCCAAGATTATTGCGCATTAAGCAGCGCCAAAGACGCATATCGAGGGGACTCCCCATTAAGCTACGTGGGTTGATATTACACGTCAATTAGATTCATTGCATTCTGCTTTCTCAAAGGCAAGCGCTTTTATAAGATCCCAAACACTCTCGCTTAAATAAGTGCAATTTTGTTTCTTCAGGCAAAGGGATTCCCCAATCGAATTCTCGGAACACGCTCACCTCTGATTTCAAAGACGGCCAAATGGCGATTTGTGAATATGTGGCACTTGGACATCTTTATAATTCTTATCTGTACATTCATGAACAGATATAATAAATATATGTTAATATAATAATAAATCAATGACAACTTCCAAATTCAAAATTCTTCCAGTCAAACAGTGCCTCAACTCAGAGTCTGAACTATTTCAATTATTTCACTTTTGTCACACAGTAACAAGGCCTCTTCGCGGAAAACACATACACAACTGATTATTTTTCTTTCTTTCCAAATTTGACGAGCTAATTGGGGACAAATGCGTGACAATTCCCATTGACACCCGATTGACACTGGTCTTACACTTCCGCGGAGAGCGGTAAAGCGCAGGCGAACTTTTGCGCCGTAAAATAGCAAACATTCCGCGGGGAGCACGCCGCGCTGACATTCCGCCTCCCACGCGGTGGCGGCGTGCGCCCCGCCCCCGCCCGCGCCCCCGCTGAGCGCCCCGCGCGCGCGGGTCAGCGGCCGGCCGCGCCTCGCGACCCGATGTCCGGCGTGGTTTGCGCGGCGCCGAATGCGGGTGGAGGCGCGCGCGGGCTGCGCTGTCGAAGCCGCCCCGGCGCCCCCGTCCGGCTTTCTCCACTACCGGAGCGGGGTCAGCAGGGCGGGCGGGCGGCAAGCGCCACGGCGTGCATGCTGTAGCGCATGGCGGAGGAGCGGTGTGGCGGGGCGGCGGCGCGACGAGTCTGCCGCGCGGCGCTCGCCGCGCCGCTTAAGTACCTTCGGCCGGCTCCGGCCGCCCCGCGCGCCGTGCGCCAACCGCGGGCCCTCCGTCGCCGCGGCGCCGCGGCCGGGGGCCATCGTTTTTGCGCGCGGGCGCGTTCCGGGTTCAATACCCGGAGGGGTCGCCGGGTCGGCTGGACGCGCACGAACCGGGAACCCCGATGCATGAGCGCGCGAGGGTGCCCGCCCCGCCCGCGTGGGAGGGCCGCGCGGGTCCACGCCGTACGCGCAGCCGGATGCGCCTCGGCCGCGCCCCCTTCCGCCCCCGCGCGCTTCGCGTCT